AAGTCATTTTTTCCTATCCAAATATCTTAAGATACTCTCTTGTGCCTATAATATTTTATATCTTAACTGTTCTCTTTATAAAATCAGTATCAACGACGGTATTACCCCCATTACATTAGGCCTGGTTCGGTAGCACATGTCTTTGTCATAATTGTGGAGAATGGTAAATGTCTGAGTATTTTCACCATTATACTGGGCACATTGCTTCTCTGCGTTATGCGTTTGTAGCTGTGTCACACCAAGACAACACCAAGAGTGACAAATTAAAAGCAAACAGAGCAGCAAGTGAATAAACGTGCAATAAGAATTGACTACAAGTTGTTAAGGCCTATTACAAAAAAAGTCGGGCTATATTATTTTAGGTTCAAATTAAGATTTTAGGATTTAAAACTTTTTTTGACTTTTCAAGACCTTGTAGCAACGGTAATGAATCCAACTTTTATCATTTATCTTCTTTCCAGGTACTGGGCTTCTCTCAGGAACCTGGTTGTTTCCCTGATGAGCTCCATGAAATCCATTATCAGCCTGCTTTTCCTTCTCTTTCTCTTCACTGTGGTGTTTGCACTGCTTGGGATGCAGCTTTTTGGAGGGAGGTGTGTATTGGCATTCTTTATTGAGAGTATTAATAAATGGAGTTTCCATGTTTTAGTCATTTCCTTACTTACACTTCCAGTCATGCAGAAGTGGTTTCCAGCTCAGAAATGCAACAGTGGTTTCCCTAAGTGGCCTCTTCGGAGGATGAAGGAAAGGAGGAGCTATGTCCGGATGAAAATAACTCCCTGCATCCTCCTTCTCCTTCTTCCTCCTGTTTGTTCCTCATTGGTCATATCTGACCCTGCTTCTCAATCTGTTTTTACCTCTAGGTTCATCTTTGAAGATTACACTCCCACCAACTTTGACACATTTCCAGCTGCCATCATGACAGTGTTTCAGGTTTGGTTCTCACAGACCCCCATCCCCCCTCCATGCCTGCTCTCCATGACACATTGCACCCTGGGATATTTCTCACCCCGGGCGCAGATTAAACAACTCTGCTCAAGCGCTCTCCGCCCCCTGCCTCCGCTATCGTCCCACACATCCAAGCACACATATGCGCACATGAATTTCAGACAAGGGAAACGTGAAAAAGTCCACATCAGATCTGCCTGAAATGAACTGCTCTGTGAAAATATGTTTTGATCAGCAACCATAGAAATTATTATTATCTCGTCACCCTTTTTAATAGTGTATTGTTATCAAAAAGGGGGTTAGGTCTGCCGTTTGGAGTATTTTAAAGCCAGCATTCACTGGAGCCTAGCCTGAACAGTATAATTATTTCTGCTATATGTTCTGTGCCTTTAATTGCCTGCAGATTCTGACTGGTGAGGACTGGAACGAGGTGATGTATAATGGAATCCGCTCGCAGGGAGGTGTTCAATATGGCATGTGGTCATCCATCTACTTTATAGTGCTTACTTTGTTTGGTAACTGTATCCTTGTTGACCTGAGAAGTGGTCAGAGAGGTCTGATGTAACCAGGATGCTTGTGCACCTTCGCTTTTTAATTTATTCATATAAAAGTGTAAATATGTATTCCTGAAAATTTTAAATACAGGAGAAGCTCTAACGTGTAAAAATAGTTTAAAACTTTAACTGCAAAATGTTCTAAGCCACTTATAGGCATTGAAGGGTTCTTTCTCTGAGATGGACTGATAGCATAGAGCATTAATGATTTTTGAAAAGAAGACCAAGGCTAGTGTGTTTAAATATGTTGTGAACTATCTCTTATCTACACAGGATCAAAACTATACATTTAGACTTCATTATAAACACCTATCATGAAAAGTAGTGAAGTTTTTGTTTGGTCAACAATTATTTTATGTATATTTTTGTCACAATTAGTCTTTTGCCACTGGAAAATGTGTTTTTTTTTTATTTGAATGCTTTTCTGTTTAAAAAACAAAATGCATTTGTGAGTTTAGTTGCAGAGTTGCATTTTTTTTGTTAAACAAATGTACCTTCATTGGTTTGCTATATTCACAGCCATGCATGAAAAACAAGCATAAAAAAGAACTTGTTTAGACTTATTTCCCTTCCTGCTGTTTGCTTTAGGCAGTTTTGGCAATGTCCACCTATTAAATATAAACATTTTTTACTTGAATGCTATCAAGTAACCTATACAAGGAAATCCTGCTTTTTTATTTAGTTTTTGAGAAAATAAAACTTAATTTTAAATTTTATTATCTCTTAAATAGCAAAGTCTTCCGAATAGACCATTAATTTATAATGTTGAATTAATGCCTGGAAATATGCCAAATTATGTCTGAAATTCTTAACGCTGTTACTCTGATTATAAAATTAAACTGTCTAGCTGTATATTTACATTCTATTATTAAAGGTCTTATCAATTTTTGTTGGGTTTTTTCATAAAAAAAGTTGGTAAATCCTGGGTAGCCATATTTTTCCTTAACTGCCTTTTTGACAGACACACTACTAAATGTGTTCTTGGCCATCGCTGTGGATAATTTGGCCAACGCACAGGAACTAACCAAGGTTTGCATTGTTTTTATCTGTCATGTGTTTATTTATCAAATGTGGTATTCTTATATCTGTTTATGTTTAAAAACCTAAGTGTAACAAAGTTTATATACTCAGGATGAAGAGGAGGAGGAGGAGTTCTTCAATCAGAGGTATGCAAGAGGAAGAGACGGCTTAATATCAGAGTAAGTTAGTGGATAACGCCTTAGATAAATTTATTCACAATTCATCTGTTTAGTATATGACAAAAACCATCACAGCTCATGTCTTCATCTTATCAACAATCAGGAAAAAACCAACAGATGTTGAATTTTGCTTATACCATTTTATTGTTCTTGTTGTTTCCAATTACTCATGACTGAAGGCGTGTTTATATGTGCTCTGATCACCTCAGCTCCATAATTACAGGTTATAGACATTAGAAAGATTGTTATTGTATGTTGATACTAGGTAAACCAGCCATTTACCAATGACAGGATTACATTAATTGTGTATTAGAATTAATAAGTTGGCAAAATGGGATACCAATAGTTTTAGACAGATATAATTTTCGTCTATTTTATAATTCAACAAAATATTTTCCAAGTTACACACAGTACCCCCAAGATATCCCTATCCAGATCTTATTACTAAAGTTTTTAATTGTTTATTATGTTTTTTTGGACTTTCTATGGATTGTCTGAGCTTTGTTTATGTTTGTTCCCTTTACTCGGGTCCTAATCTAAATAACTTAATCTCTTGCCTTTATTTGTAAAAGATTTATAGTTTATTCTTATTTCTTAGTCCTGGTTTTCTCTATTGCACCTCATTACTCCCTAGATGTCCTCAGTTATCCTCGTGTCATCTTTGAATGATCTACTCCTCACCTCTTACTCATGACTCACCCTTTTCATTCATTCATCTCTTCCAGGTAACAAAATTGTTAATACCCCTTGTTTAATGAAAAAATGTCCACATAAATAAATTGAATCTCGCAAAATTAATAATAAATAAAAAGTTCTATGAAAATAAACAAATTAATGTCAGACATAAAAAAAATAACTAATTAAACAGGCCTGGACAAATATATGGTATCCCTAGAAAAGGCTAAAAATAATGTGACCAAAGGGACATGTTAAATCAAGGTCCACTAATTAACACATGAGTATGATCTGTAATCAGTCAGTTGGTCTATACTTATATAGGGCAACAAGTAGCCACTGTGTTTTTTGGTGACATGGTGTGTACCACACTCAACATGGACCAGAGAAAGTGAAGAAAATAGTTTTCTCTGGAGAACTGAAAGAACATTATGGAAAATCATGTTAAATTTAAAGACTTTACGAACACCTCCAAGCAGCTTGATGTTCATGTGACTACAGTTGCACAAATTATTGAGATATGTAAAATCCATGGGATTGTATCCAACTTTCCTGGCCACAGAAAAGAAAATTGATGACAAATCAAAGAAATGAAAATATGAACAGTAACAACACATCCATCATTGAGCTTAAGTGGACTTAATGAGATGTAGTAGGTCACCAATGTGGTAAAAAACAAATCCGGAAAAAAGAAAGTGGACTGGAATTTCCCAAACTACATGTTAACAATCAAAAAAGCTTCTGAGAGAATGTCTTATTAACAGATCAAACAATCAATCAATCAATTTATCTTTTTTGTCAATTACAATTTGCATTGTAATCGAGATTTCAGTTTCAGTAAAAACTGTTTATCACATACATCACATACATGAGAGGGGTTGGGGGGCTGGACAGGGGAACGATTGACTGAGGGCTGGACAGGGGAACGATTGACTGAGGCCATGCGTGCCAAAGAACGCTGCCATTAGGCAGATTCTTTTGCCGTGAGGCGGTTCCCTTAGGGCGCTGCCTTTTATCTCTGTGGAAAGATAGGAGCCACATTGGGAAGGAAAAGGGGGAAAAAAAGCATTTTCACACTTTATCCTTGACAGGGTACCGTTTGAGATTTAAAAAAAACACCTCATCACAAGAAAAGCACATATAACATGGGACAAACTTTTCAGCAGATGGAAAACTTTGGAGGCTGAGAGTCATACGTGAGTCTATCTGATGTTTGAGCATCAGTTGTGTGTGTATGAGTGAGTGCGTTCAATTCGTCTATGAACGCTGTCCAGAGGCCATTGTCCTTGATAAGATGGAAGTTTATCAACTGGCACTATAGTTCTGAATTCATCCACAGATGAGACAAAATGGAACGTTTTGCCAAGGCAAAAAAAAGCTCTATGCTCACAAATAGAAAATATGAAGCATATGAAGAAAAGAACACTGTCCTTACTGTGAAACATGGAGGGGGTTCTGTTATGTTCTGGGGCTGCTTTACTTCATCTGGCAAAGTTTGTCTTAGAAAGCTTGGTCTCAGTCACAGGTCATGGGTCTTCCAACAGTATAATAACAGCCAAGAATGGCTACGAGGAAAACATCAGACTAAGGTGGCTTCTATGAACCCTGACCCAAATCCTACTGAGCTTCTTTAGAAGGAGTTGAAACATGCAGTTTGGAAAAGGCAACAAATTACCAAGTAAAGGTTACCAATATTATTGTAAAGGCCTGTTTTACCAATACATTTTTTTCATATCATTTTTTTAAACATGGTTCGAAAGCAATATCTATTTTTCTTTATTCATTTTCATAGATTTATTATTTTAATGCTTACCTTTGTCAGATTCAAATTATTTCTGTGACCATTGTGTGTTTTTATTCATTAAATGAGGGTTAGGTGAAAATACATAACACTTCTCTCTGTCTAGCCCTGTTTATTTTTTCTTATAAGCTGCTAATTTTTTGCTCTTCCAAAGTTTAGATCTTTTAAATTCTGATTTGGGAGCAACTTTACTCTGACTCTGAAGTAGATCAACATATTTAGTATTTAATGTGCCTGGCTAGCTGCATTTATATCACATGAAAAATGTAATTTACATGTGGTTTGTTTCTACATTTTATATACATTTAATAGAAAATGATAAATGAACCGGGCTTATTCAATTTAATTCAAAAATGCTTTATTAATCCCAAAGGGAAATATGATATATGGTGGTTTTCAAGATGTGCTGAATGCTTAAAGCGCATATACACTAATAATCCCATTTCTCTAGCTGCACATTCAATGAGTTAATTGCAGATTGTTTTTCAAATTACCCTTTAAAATGCTGTTACTTATTTTCTGTTACAAAAACATGTAAAAGGAAAAAGGTAAGTGTCAAATGTTACAATGTTACAGATTTTACAACTTTAATATAACAGTTAATTGTTACCTTTTAAATATTTTTCTGATTAGAGGTACTGTGGAGGATTTTCGCAAATTTTTTAAAATACCTGCCCTCTCTACTTTAAAAAAATGCACATGCACAACCCTGTACCCGCTCCCGAGAGGGAACGCCTATTAAACACGTGCAAGAGCATGCACGAGCCCATTTCTCCTCATCCTTGCTCTGTTTAAAAGTTGCTGTTCTCATGGCTCATACAACCTTACCATGTCTGAACGTCCGCCCTAACCCCTAAAATCCGTCCAGCACTATATACATTATACGGTGGACTTGATAGTGAACTCTGTTAACTGACCGTTTGGGCGGATGATCACTACTTTTTGCTCTATTGGTCACATAACTCCTCGTTTACCACACGGTGCCTGCATCATCTTTGTTATTAGTCGCTGGCTGCTGGGTAGCGACTGCCTATGGTGACAGCAGGCCGCTGTGACAGCAAAACCCATAATGCTTTGGAAGGAGATCTCTCCACGCAAAGCATTCCGGGATGCACCTGCCTCTTCTGAGGCCTTTCTTTTCTTCTCATACACTTCGTAGACACTTTTTCTCTTTCAACCCTCTGCCATTTTTAAAGAACTGCGGTGAGAAAGGTGAGCTTCAGTGACTGAAAGTGAGCATGCGCAGAAAAAGGATAGCTAAATGGGGGCGAGCACTTAGGACTTCCTTACATAAACATATCACCAGAATGACTGACAATTAGGAGGACCACTTATTTAGATGATCCATACAGAAATAAAAGATCATCCTCTATACCATTAAATGTATGTTAAAAACAACTATTACTATTCCTGTTTCATTTTGGCCAATCTTTTCTCCACTCTCAGTGCCTTGTAACATCAGCAACACCAATAGAGAGTTTATTATTATGAAACTATTTAACACTCTGGGACTGTAAACCTAGCATATCTTTGCCATTTTTAGATTTGGCTTTTTTGTGTAATGTATGAGTGTTTACTTATAAACAATAAAAGACTGAACATTGGCTGGTTTTGATCTAATGTTCCCAAAATTTGTATTTTACTTTTAAATTTGTGGATATGAGAGCTCAACAGAGGCGCAGATCTTTAAAACCCAGGGACTTTTTTTGTCATTTGTGTGTAACACATATAAATGTAAGTCATTTGTGTGTTGCAAACTCTAATATGCTTATTGATGTAAGTTTTCTGACTCCATCTTGTTGTCTTGTTATGTTCTTGTTGCATGGCACTGAACAAAATGATTGGATTAATGAGGCTTTATCTTCTAATCCAGACTAAATGATATCTTAAAGAAGATATAATATCTTAGGATAATCCTTTATTTAAGTTTTTCAATTTAAGAAAATTTTCTAAAGGAATATTTTCTATGGATCTATTTATTCTGTTGATGTGATTGTGGATTACAGTTGATAAAAGCTTAAAATTCAGCTTTAAAAAAAATGAGAGAAGGCTTTTAAACATGGAAATGCCAGCTTATTGTATAGTATGTTCTTATTTCATCAATATAAACACTTTTTTTTTGCATGTGTTACTGCATCAGTGAAACTTGGCGAGTAAGAACATAAGTTAACTTTTTGATAATGTTATATTTTATTGCTCTCTAATACTAAAGAAATAAAGGGGAGTTTTGAAAATCTTCACATTATTAATCAGCTGATTTCCAAAGCTTTTACTTCCATGTAAACATGTTGTTCTGTGCCATATCAGAAGTTCATTGTTTGTTGTAAATCACTACTGTCTTGTTTTCAAATGACCACTCATCGGACAACAAAAGAACACCAGTAAGTAGAACTGAATGCATCCCTATTGCACAGACCTTTCTTTAGTTTCCCTATTCGATTCCTGAGATTATTTTGTTGATGTTACACAATGTTTGCACTTTAATCCCACGCATTTTCTTTTTTGTTATTGTGGGTTTTGTTCTCCTTTTTTCCAACTTCTGATCTGTCCCTTTCTCCCAGGTATTATTATTCATTTCTTTGGATGCTTTTTAACACATTTTTTCATGGGAAAACTTTCCGTTAAGAATTAATTAACATTACGAATTTACAAAAAAGTTTGCCCTTTTCTTGCAACTTTTATGTATTTCTTTACTATTTTTTTTACAACATTTTTTGTTAGATAGCTGGTTTGCTAAATGGATATTTGATATTTTTTAGTTTCTTGTCACTGAATCTGTTCATGTGGACAAACTTTTGCCCCCATTCAATGTGTGTATTGTGTTCTGGTGTCTTAGTGGCAGAAGGAGACCCTACCTGTATAGAAAACGGGCGATCCACAGAGGGCGGCCCAATTTCCCAGAAGACTCTGACTGTGCACCAGGGGCCCCAGATGAGCAGCCCCTTAAAGGCCCCAGCGCCTTTGTCAACCGCCGCGAGAGGAGGAGAAAAGTTAACATGTCCGTGTGGGAGCAGAGAGCCAACCAGCTACGCAAACGTCGTCAGATGGCGAGCAGAGAGGAACTGTTTAGTAGCCCTGCAGAGGACAATGCTGAAACTCCCACTGTTCCCAAACATGTCCCTGCCATTTCCCCGGAGGCCAGCCCGGCTCACCTGCCTGAGTCTCCCATGTCTGTTAAGATGCCCCTACCTGAACCCCCAATGTCAGTCTCCATTCCAATGCCTGAGCCCCCAGCTGCTGAGTCTCATGTTAATCCGAATGAGGAGAAAACCACAGGAGCAAACCACCGGACTGCTGGCGGTGGCAGGCACCGAATGGCCCGGAAGTTTAGGTCCAGTCAGGGACTGGAAGAAGGAGCCCGACACAGGCGGCACCGTCACCGTGAAGCCCGTGTTGAAGCCAAAAGTTTGGACTGCACACAGTCACCACATGAAGTTCTACATATCAGACGGTCACTCAGTCAAGAAAGGAAGATTATTGATGAAAGAGAGGAGAGAGAAGACAGAGATGAGAGTGAGAGAGCTGATGGAGAGGGGGGACAAACAAACATAACACAGCAAGAGGAAGATGACTCAACATGTATCATCAATCCATATGCAGAAGTTGGAGAAGAATGCAGAAGGTAGGGCCTTTCCTATCAAGCATATCAGTCCTCCTTTCCTTAAATGTATTTGGGGCTTTCTGTGTATCCAGTTTTGTGAACAATTTTGTGTTGAAATTCATTGATTACCAACCGATTTATATTAGAAATATATTTTATATCAGAGTTGACTTGAGCCAGAAGAGGACTTGGGTTCTTTCTCTCCTTCTCGTTCCTCACACCTGAACGACATGAACTTTGTTAAATACAGCAGTCTGAATACATTCTAGTCAGTATCAGAATAACAACATCAAGCAGAATAAGAAAACTTAAGCATACATTATGAAAAACTTAAGCATACATTATGAAATGCAGTCTGGCCCAACATGGACATAATTGACAAATTTCAGACAAGTTTCTAGGCTTACATGTTTTATGTTCACAAATGTACCAAATACAAAAACATATAAAACTTGAAACGTGTATGGTTTCAAAACTAAAGCAGCAAAACCACATCTAAAAACTTAGAATTTTATAACAAATTATAATATAATGCATTGGACACTACATTTAATTAGACTTATCGGATCCATCACAACAGCACTGTAGTGTCATAGAAGAATCAGGGTGAGGACGTTTTTATTCCTTTTTAAAAAAGGACACTTGGCTCTGTCTTGACACATGTAATTATTCACTCAAGTTTGCTAAAATAGACCTTCTAATGTTTAAAATATAATTAAAGCATCCTCTATTTAATGAGGAAACAAACTAAATTATTTATGTCACCAGTCTTCTGGCATATTCTCATTCACAGAACCAAGTTTAAAAAGTTAATAAAAACCAGCAAATAAGGCTCATCGATTGAGTTTAGATCATTCAATAGAAATTCAGCATAAAGTTTAAGCAGGCTCCTTTAGGGGTAAATATCAGCCTTTAAACCTAATTTTAATTAAATGTCTTCCCAGTTAAAGTAGAAAACTTTTCAGTGTTTTCTATAGAAGGCAGACTGCTGCAGTACCCTGCCACAGTCTGTTGTTCAGCTTTACTTCAAGAGGGAGACAATAGGCAGTTACCGGTTTCTTGTAGGCCAAATAACCAGGTCCTCTGCAATTCAGAGGAATGGTTGCTCTCCCAGGATCTCCTAAGGATCTCTGCTAAGAACTGAAAAACAGCAGTTTCAGTTCAGGAGGCCATGTACAGAATGCAATTAGGAAATCTGTAGACCATTTTATTCTTGCTTACAACAGGGCATGTTGGTAAAAAAGCATTAAAACATTTCCCGACCATCATTATACATCCATTTTCTGAAATGCGTCTTAAATTATGAGGTTAGTTGCGTCATTAGATTTTTGCAGAGCTTTAGATGCTGCTCTAGGTTATTTTGTGACCTCCTGTATGAGCTGGCAATGCATTAGGTTATCTTTGAATGCCAGTCACTCCGTTTTCAGTTCCATTGAAACTGAAAGCATTAGAATGTTTGTAACATACTCCACAAAAAATTCCTTTTCCCTCCAAGTAATTATACTTCATGAGAAGCTCAGCTGAAAAACTTCTGGAAAGTCTTATCCACTGTTTTTGCAAAATCAACAAAAGAAACAACTAAATCAACACAAAGGCAGAGTAGACATTTTTAGAATGATAAGGAATCACTACTTCTGCAAACCGATTATCAAACTGTCCGTTGCATTACTGTACGCATTTATCTATCTGAGATAATGTCTGAATGTCCACCCATATAAACTTGTCTCTGCTTTTTTACTTGACAATACCCATAGAAATCCACAACTGCAAAAGAAACACAATGGCAGAGGGGGCATGTTTAAATTGAAAGGGAGGAGAGGAGAGCTTGATATAAATTTTTTATATTACGTAGAGTATGTATCGTATAAGTTTTTATATTTCCTCACCTCCTCTGCCAACTATTCCTTAAACAATTAATTTCACAACAGATCACATAAGGATGGGCTATCTAACCATATAAAACAAGGGGAAAATCAATTCAGCTTTTAACCCACCTATTCATAACTTGATCTGTTGCACAACTTTTCTCAGACATGCTGTATTCAAATAAGGTTTTCCCAAGTCGTCGTGCTGAAAACGAGCAGCAAGAACTTCCAAGACATGGCTTCACTAACAAACTTAAACAGTTCCTCCATAATAGCATGTAAATGTAAATCTTTTTTTTTTTTTTGTTGCAATTTTTAAAGTTCTTTAATGTGTTTTCTGTGGTATAACAGAGATCCTGAACCCGGTAGTGATATTCCTGATCCCCCGCAGTGCACCTGGTCAAAGCAGGGAGAGACCGGATGCATTGATCAGTATGAACCCCTGAGTCAGAACATCTCACTTGAGCCAGCTTTAGAGGGCAAGGAGTACACTGTGAGTACCATTGAGTCAGAGAAACGCAAGATTTCCATCAAACGTGACAAGTCCAACCTGGAGGGCAGCGTGGCTATAGAGATGTCTGCACAGCCCCTTCTGGGGCTCACTTCCGTCACAGGTAGGGTGTGTTTTATCTCTGCAGTCACCCTTCTTTAAACATGACATCTTTAAATTGTACCAATGGTTGTGTCTGGGTATCTGTAGCTGCTAGGATTTTTATTGTTAACTCGTGTTGTTCTTTGTTATAGCTTTTCATGTGGAAGTCACAAATTTTCTCTCACCTTTTTTTTTTAGAGAACAGCAAAGAGTTGCAGGGATATGACTCTGAGCAAAAAGAGGATGAAACGGAGGACGAGGAGCCCCCATTGCCTCCAAAAGCTGTAGTTCCTGACAGCATGTTCATCTTCAAAGCCTCCAACCCGTAAGATGCAACGTCTATCTTATAAATCATTTGTCCTGATTTTTGCATATGTCCATTCAGTATCCTCCCCTCTGTTTGCATACAGTATCAGGAGGATCTGTCACTATGTCGTCACTCTTCGCTACTTTGAAATGACCATCCTCCTTGTGATCGTGGCAAGCAGCATTGCACTGGCAGCAGAGGATCCTGTGTGTACAAATTCAGACAGAAACAAGGTATATCAGCCTAATGGCTTTTATAAATTAGGATTTATGGATAAATTAATGTCAACAAGAGAATAAGAGAACAAATAACTATGTGATGCAACAAAAATGAATTGAACGACCACGGTGAAAGTATTTATTGATATTGCATGTTGTATGACATAAGCACATTGAAGAACATATTTTGAACGGCCTTATGATCATAGAGATTTTTCTTTTTTTAAACACAATTTAAACCATACATATATGTAAATCTATTGCATAAAATACACATTTTCTCAGTGTCTGGCATGACATCAAACTCAACTCCTGTTCTCGGGCCAGTTAGAATTGTAAACATTTTTTACTAGTTTTTCTACATAGTTTTTATGAAGAAAAATGAAGAAAAGAAACTTTTTATTTTGTTTTTATCACTACTTATGTTTGCTTATGCTTTTCAAACACTCTTATCGTTAAACTTTTAAAGAAATTTGCATGCACTAAAATTACTATGCTACCCAAAAGCGGACCTTAGAGGCTTAAGAAGGACAGTACCTTCTCCATTGCTTTTTACTGTACACGTCTGACTTCCAGTACCAAACAGAGTCCTGTCATCGGCAGAAATACTCATATGACTCTGCAATCTTTAGGTACATCAAGGATGGACAGAATTCTGAGTATAGAGACCAATCATCTGATCCTGAATGTCAACAAAACAAAGGAGATGATTGTAGATTTCAGAAGAAACAGCAACAAGTTGAATCCTATTAACATCAAAGGAGAAGAAGTGGAGGTGCTTGAGGAGTATTCGTTTTTTTACAGTAAAATGGTTGCAAACACAACCTGCAAGGGAAATGTAACTGACAGTGTAAAAAGAACAGCAGCTTTGAAAATAAAGATCAAATTGTACAAAAATAGACATAATTACGTCACATAAACAGAATGTTAAGCTTTGTTGACCAAAGATAGGTACAAACTTACAAATATACAGTGGTCCTTCCTCATCTGTGAGTCAATCTGGCCCCTAGACCAATTCTTATTTGTGTTCATGAACAAGTAATAATTCTACATGACTAAACATGATTTAATTTTTAAAAAGGTATAATTTTATCATTGAATTGTGTGTTAGTGATACATATTTACATAGATATCCTCATACAACCAAAAAACAACATTTAACTATTCTTGGGGTTCCCTACTTGCTTTGGGGCCCTAAAAGGTGGCTTTGTTTTGCTTGTACTGCCCCTGAGCATAAAACAGGTTTAAATGTCATGCAGACACAGTTATTATACTAATTCGGAACACTTTCTCCCACTGCCATACATTTATATCAGATAGAATAATAGTATAGTGTAGAATTAGCTGTGACTTGTAGCTATTTATTTCAAAAAGGGGGAAAAACATCAACAGTGGAGGAAGTCGTTTCATATGAAGTCAGCTCAGTAACTTTTTTGGCAGCTTGACATCTCTTACACAAGTGGTTAAGAACACTTTTATGTTTTTACTGTAACTCTAAAGGTTTAAACAGAATCACCAGATTGCACACAATGCAGAGAAACTGTTGTTGAAACACACTTGTAAAATCCTTACTGTTAAGTTTTTAGGTAGACAGTTTTAAGATGAGTTCAGGGACAACAGATGAAAAATAGCCTCTTGGCCAATTCTGGTGCATTTGCAGCAATGCTAATTGATGTACATTTCAAATAGATAAGTAAAATAAAATAAAAATGAGAAATCTCAGAAACAATGTGTGATATGTTTTATGGTGATGCCCATATAGACTTATTGAATTCCTCCTTAGAATCTGATTTGTTCTTGTGAAATCAGTAGCATTCTCTTATTTTGGCTTCCCTCCTCTTTCGTCCTCAGGGAAGCATTATGACACAACAAAAACAGGTTTAGTTGTTGTTTTTTTTCTTTTACAGTTTTAGGCGTCACTGAAAGAAACAGACGTAATCATACATAACATTTATTACAAAAGGAAAATTGCATGTGTGAGCCCCCCTAGTATCACCACACCCTGTGCACAATCTATAAAACAGCTCAGCTCAAACAATTTTACTAAATCAGCTCATACTGTTTGATTTCTATATTACTACCTGATATCAAGAAAATGTATGAAGGATTTAGAATGTTAGCAAAGCTTTGCAAATCCAAAAGAAATCTAGTTATCTTTTGAGTCGCATCATCATCCACTAAAGAAATAAAACATTCATTACTACCTCGCACTTTACGATTATAAAACACCAAGGAAGACTTTATAGCTCAGTTTGACTGTCTGGTCAGATCTCTAGTTGACATTAACACAGTCAGTAACAATGTGTCATGACACATTTGGCTTTCATGCACATCCAAGGTGAGAATCAGCAGCTCTGCCTGACAAATCGCTGTGCAGTTTGTTTTTCACAAGTTTTCCCTTTTTACAGTGCCATAGAGAGTAAGTTCAGCTTAGCATGATGTGAGTTCATTCAGCTATTGAACTACTCTTAAGAGGACATTTTATCAATTTTGGCAAAAAATTTCTTCTTTATGTCTCTATAGGGAGACATAGGGAGACATTGCTAGGTCAATAATCCAAATCTACTCTGTATCAACTTGTTTTTTTTAACATGATAAAAAGACATTTTTACTCTGAGTTTTGGTGTTTTTATTTTTTTTTTACCAGTTTGCTTCTCTGATGCTGATTTTCCTCTTAGAAATTGGTCTCATGAGTCATGCAGCTTAATGGAAGCGTCACTCAGTATTACTGTTGCACTTTAGGTAATCAGTGTGTTTGCTACTCCAACAAACAACCAATATTTTGTGATTTGTTTTGGTTTTCATTATATGAGTGAGATGATTCAACAGACCCATATCTCTAGAAAACTAAAAACATCCGCATTTGTGTTTGTATCTGTGACTATAATTGTTTCAGCATAGTTGATTCAAGCTGATTTTGACAGTACTCGCCAAAGGAAAAGCTTATCCTGAGGCCTTTTTCATGTAATCATTTTAACTGCAGGGCAACAATTGTACTGCAACAATGTAATGTGTAAATAGGTCTGATGTAAACACGATCAACTAACGAGGAGTCGAGCTAAATGTGTTTTTAAACCACCCAGGTGCTGCGATATTTTGATTACGTCTTCACTGGGGTGTTCACCTTTGAAATGATCATAAAGGTAGGGCATAAAGGATTGTCATTTAAAAATATATATGTTTAGGATAATTTATTAACTTTTTTTTTGGCCTTCAGATGATAGATCAAGGTCTAATTCTGCATGATGGGTCCTATTTTCGAGACATGTGGAACCTCCTGGACTTCATTGTAGTGGTGGGAGCTCTGATCGCCTTTGCTCTAACGTAAGCCTTTTCTTATGACTAATGACTGACTCACTGCAGCTTATAACTTTGCAAGCATGCTGTATATTTATAAATGGTTCTTCCTGGAGTCATAAACTATATGCATCAAGACACATGCAAGCCTGCGAGTAACTCTGTTTTAAATTTCATCACAGGGCTTCAAGTGAAAAAGATGGCTTTTTTGTGTAGCTTTTTTCTGTCGTCTCTCATGGCTTGTATGTGACAGACAATTTACTAACTGACTAACCCCCTTGTGCAGTTTGTTGAAGAGAGCTTTTACTGTATGTGAATTTTTTTGTTGTTAATTTGGATGTAATGTAACCTTTTTTTATCCCCGAATTTTTTTCTCTGTTGTTCCTGTGGATTTTATGACTGTTGGGGAAACCAGGAATGTGATGGGGTAAAAATTTTCTAAATGTGAACATCTCATCAGTCTTTTACATATTTATTTTGTACTCATGCATTTTGATTTTGCGTTGTATAGTTAATGTTTTACTACAATGTCTTTTACACATCACAAAACTAAAGATTCTGGCATGTATTAGGATTATGAACAAAGGAAACAGTAACAGAAAGGAAAGTAATTATTGAGCATATAACGGGTAAATATATAATTTACAAAAGATGTGGGTACCAACCCAAGCAACCCACATATACAAAGAAGTCAAATTAGTTCAAAATGAAATTTATATGGAAAAAAGTGTAATAAAAATCTAAGTAAACTATAGTACTTACGAAATATGTTTTAGAAAAGCCTTTAAAAGGTAATGGCAGATTCAAGTTTTCTTCTGTAAGGAGGACCTGTGGAGATCAGATCGATGATCCGATTGATGTCAGTTCATTGAAACTGGTATAGTCTTTGGCTATGCTTATTTTATCTTCAGGCTCTTATCAAGAGTGTCAGTAGATTTCCATGAATATATTTATGTAGATAGTAAGTATCCTTGACTAGAAATAGACCCATAACAATAATGTCCTCAATCCCAGACTTTAATGTTAATGTAGTGTTTTTGGAAATTACGCAGAGTTCTACTCTGAACAGTTTTAGTTTGTATCAATGACAAACCTGTCAGTTCCAAATCTTTCTTAAGGACTCTGTGAGTACTTCTTTTACATCTCTTCTTATCATCGATTTATATGTAAGATT